GGGGGTGATGTTGTTTTGTGGGAATAATTAAAAATGTAATTGGTTAACCCACAAGTAATTGAAAAGAAATTGAAAGATAAGTGACCAGACAAGAATTTCATTTGTGTTTCAGAAATCTCAGGGATGTTGGCGTGCAAGCTATTGGGCCCTGAACGGTGCTGATTTTACACTGTTTTCAGTGGGGCTTGAATTAGTGGACTGGGCCCTGCACCGCTCTCAAGCGGAAACAAAAGGGTAACACGACACGTACTTCGCTGACCAAAAAAAAAAGGGAAAAAATGCTTAAACGTCGGCTTTTCATCGAGATAGCAAACTCCAATTCGTCTGTTTCGACCGCATTATAGTATACATTATAGACATTACTTCTGAAAACAGACACAAGAAAATCGTTGACGTACAAGATTTGGCTGGCGAGATAGCTTGCGACTTTTGAGAAGGAATGGGTCTGGGATCATCAACACATTTCAGTTCTTTCTCTGGACTAGGTCTTTAATTGCTCTGGGCGCAAGCTTTTTAACCTGGCCATGTTTGCTGAGGAATGTTTGTTATTGTTCAATTAATGCAAGTGTCTTTTTTTTAGTTTTTTTTTACAACTTTGTATGGGTATAGTAAATGTTGAATGTCAGTCAAAGCTTTCTTTGTATGACCCTGTTTAATCCCTTCGTGTATACAAAACTAGGATGTACTTTGCTGTTAAGTTGGGAAAAGCCATCTTACGTCGTACCGTGTAATAGTGCTGTGCTCCACAATTTGTTCTTTATTACAAATTCTGAGCAATAAACCCTTCCTGTATTCTTGGATGTGGATGGATTAGGCCAAATTTTAAAGGAAAACGTGCGTTCAGAATGAATTCATTCAATACGGGCGATTCACAATAGTGCGCTGCCAAGAGTTTGCAACGCATTGACCAATCACAGTGCGCGAAAGTTGTCGACCCAAAGCGTGTTTGGAAAGGGTCGACAGGTTTCGCGCACTATGATTGGTCAACGCGTTGCAAACTCTTGGAGGCGCACTATTGTGATTTGCCCTTATTGTACAGTGATTATTTCATGTACAGCGAACCTTTCCAATCTAAACTGACTTTTTTCCGGGGTGCGGAGGGGTATCCAGTCTAAGTGGGGGGTGGAATTTTGTTCCCAACTGACGGGCCTTTTCTTTCACCCCACGTATGTTTATGCCCCTCACTTAGTTTGTGCCTACTAAAACTCACTAAGCCAGAAGTAAGTAAAATGGCTCTTGACTCGCCGAACAGGTGGACCCCAAAAGTAATCGATCAACATCAAGCTCAGATAAAGTTCTTTGCCGCTCACTTCCATACCGATTAGTATTTAAACACCCAAAGTCCCTTTTGCTAACTAGAACACAATAAAAATCCATTTTCTGCCAAATTTTTGCTTCTGTTTTGGTGTGCTTTATTTTTTGCATCTTTACTCCTTGAATTTATTTAGTTTCGATAATTTTCGACATGTTTTTTCATCATATTCCACACATGGCATTATGGAAATGAACGTTGTTGTTGAAGTGAATTGAATACCTCCAAAGTAACAGAGAAGTTGGAAGTGAAGCCAACATTTTAGAGGGTATTTTTTTCATTTTTGCGTCCACGCAAAACTGAAAAAATACCCTCTAAAAATATTTCCCCTGACATTTCTCTTCTTGTGAATATTGAGGAATATCATGAATGCTCTGATGAGAAAGTGTCATGCAAGAAGGAAACCGTATAAATTGCGTCGGACAATTTGACATAATTGTACAGTACGAATTAGTGCAATGCAGTAAGAGTCAACTCGTACCGAAAAGCACTCATATCAAGGTGTGTGTGCTCGTACGTGTATGCCATGCCCCAAATCCGGACATCTCATTTTTGACTGCTGTCGGACTCCGACGGCGCGAAAATTTGAATCCGCATGAGAAACGAACGTGTTTCAGACAAATGGCTCTCGATCTTGAAGAAATGAACTGATGAGTACAAACGATTCATCAGTCTTCCAGACAGTATCACCCCTGATCTGAGGGGATTAGACAAAAGTGTGAAAATTGGGCATTAAGTATGGTGAAAAACACGAAAAATGAAGAAAATGGGTCCAATGAAAAACGAAGTGAAGTTAAAAAAAAGGCTTTCTACCTAGAATTAATAAACGTCTTTGACCATGACAGGTACTAGTTTTTCATGTGGCATCAAAGTTATTTGAAGGTAAACTCGGCAAAATTGTGAAAATTGGACACAAAGTCGGTGAAAAAGAGATAATATTTTTCATAATAACCCTTTGTCGTAAAATTGACATTTTCTACTTCTTTATTTTCCGGAGATCTTTCCAAACAGAAGCTATTAAATGTCTCCATTTGATAGATTCTTGGCAATTTAGTCACACACAACGTCTCTTAGGGAAATGGCAGGACAAATCCCTCACATGGGCCACCACCGATATGCGTTGTCTGCGAGAATATCAGTTTTCACCAAAGATCGTATAGCGCCGCGAAGCGGCGCCAGATGGCGAACTTCCCCGTAAATACACGTAAAACGTTGTAATCGCAATTCACATTAGTGCAGGCGCCGCGGCAGGCACGCGCACCTGGTGAGCCTGCGCCCAAGCTTTACCGTGTACTGCTCAGGCATATCGCTTGCTCAAATGGCGCTCACGGTAATTACATCTTTTGGGCAGAGTCATCCACCTTGCACCTTCGACGTTATCCGATCTTTGGTTTTCACTGGGTCGACGACCTGTCACATGCACGATACACAAACTAAATGCACGCACAGTCTATGGGACCGATCATGTATGTGTATGTACCCGTAAACGAATCCCGAGCGAGGGCAGGGCCATCAGGAGCGTCCCAGGGGACACCGCTCTTTTTTAGAGGGTAAAGCACTTATCAGTAGCTTGTGGGCGGTGGGGTAGGTTTTTATAGAAATTGTTTCTTCCTTTTTCTCTTTTCTACCCCTTGTTTTTTTAACAATTCGTTCAATTCCCACGGCGCTTCATAGCATTTATTGTAATGATGTGGATTTTATGAAATATGAAATATGATGAACCATGATGAGCAAGGGTGTGCGGGAAATTACTGCCTATGGCGCGTTTCTCGCGTGGGTAACTGTTAAGAGCGCCCTCTGCGGACCATCTACACGTTTTCGAGTCCATATATTTTCCGTCGGCTTAATCTTTTCCTAGAAGGTTCAAGGCCATTATCATATATGGGCGTGGTTAACTGCAAGCTCGATCAATTACGAGGACACTTAGAAAGTTAAGTTAGAGAAGGTAAACTTCGGGCTTTACTTTCCTATTATAAAAACATCCTCTCACCTATCAATCCCCTCCCCAGGAAAAAATTGCATACATGCAGTACAATACAAGTCAAGTGCTCTTCTAAGCTACAGTGCAACTGGCCGAGACAGCAGTTTTGTCGTATGTTATACCTTAAAGTTCATCCACCCGTTTATGGTAACTGCACCCAACCTTCCTGCGAATAACGCATGCGCTACAGTTCAGATAAGCCCATTTTGTTATAATTACGCCTAACCCTCTTAGGAAAAAATACGCTTTCCGGCCGTCTGTAAATTTGGCTTCAAACCTTGAAATCCATCGCGTTCTGTACAATTTTAGATCTGCAGGAATTTTAAATAACGTAGTTTGTGTCATTCATGCGTGAATTATCGTTAGATTAGGGCTTATATGTACGCCACTGACGATAGCTTAAGAGCAAAATCACCTTAAATTCCGTATTTCCCCCGGCCGTTTTTTAAAAATTATTTTGCGTTCTCATCCCATTCAAACATGAAACGTGCCCTGTACCCTCGCTCTAGATGGGAAAAAAGAGTTTGGCCATTATAACGGTGACCAGTTCCATTATGCACCCCGCCAAGAAAACGACTCAAGTTTACGGTAAAGCATTCGCTGAATGTCAGTGTGTAGGCCTAGTCTAAACTATTGCTGGGGTCACACGTTGATACGCATAATAGCCCTACACGTGCAGCCTCGCCAACATACGGCCAACTAGACTGGAACACACAGAAAAAAATTCTCCATGTTCTTTGAATATTTTCGTTACGGACCATTATGTTTCAATTATACTTTGGCAGCCTGGGCTGTTGTATAATTCATTGTGTGGCGCGCTTCAATAGCAGAGAAATTCATCTCTTGTGGTAATGATTATAATCTTAGCTTGAACAGTAGGAGCATTTCAAAATACACTGCAGACTACCCTTTAACATTATCCTTAGCATTTCAAACCAATTTTTTTTTTATAAAAGACACAATATTCTGCCGGACTGACAAATATACAGGTAAATTATCTGTCATAAAGAAATTCTGAGTAAGGAACCACAAGTATTTTGGGAAAGGTCGTGGTCAATGGAGGAGGAAATTGGGTTCATGAGAAAGTCGTAAAATTGAAATCTCAGGGACTGGAAGTGGTCGCGGCTGACCACACAACATCCTGGTCTGACCACACTGACCTTCTGGAAGTGCACAGATATTTCTTAGAAATTAGATGGGAACAGTATGGGTTATAAAGAGGACGAGATAGGAGAGGGTCTTCGAGATTTTAACTTGCTATCAATCACATCTGCTAGCACTACTGTAGAAATAAATAAATATGCATGTAGAATAGCAGAGAAGTGTGATCGTGTGAGTTAGTCAGAAGTACATCTGTTTCGT